CAGGTCGGTGACTACCCATCTTCACCAGGTCCTGTGGGATGATGGTTACATCTCTTACAACATTTGGCATTCATTCACCATCGATCCTTGGGTTCTCAGAGTGCTAGATTTGGGGTTTGAGATTCAGTTTACTTCTCCCCCTCCATTGTCCTCCCATCTGATTGTCTTTTCACCTCCTTCAGAACTCAGACGTGCAGACCTTCGTACCCAGGCCATTCAAGAGTTGTTCAACAAACAGGCCATCAAGAAGGTTGATCCCATTCATGCAGGATTCTATTCTTATCTATTTCTGGTACCCAAGAAAACTGGAGATTGGCATCCTATCATTGATCTGTCTTGACTCCATCACTTCTTACAGCTTCCATGTTTCACCATGGAATCTTTTCTTCAACTTTGATGGCACTTCACACCAGGTCTTTGAATGACCAAGTTTGATGTTACAGATGCCTACCTTCACATCCCCATAGCATTGTGTTCTTGTCGATTTCTACGTATTGTGCATAAGGACCAGGTGTTGCAGTTCCAAGCTCTCCCATTTGGACTTCCTTCAGCATCATACGTTTTCTGCTGAGAAGTGCGGGCCTTTGCGTGACATCTACATTTTCTGGATCTGTGCACACATCACTTTATGGACGATTGGCTTCTTTTGGTACCAACTCGTCACATTGCTGAATTACATACTCAGATGTTCCTCTCCAAAGCCAGAAGGGCAGGCTTCATTATCAGGTTAGAAAAATTCATTTGCTCACCAACTCAATATCTGGTCCATCTCGGGGTGTTTTCAACATACATTTCAGTTAGGCTCAACCATTTCCCCTCAGACTTCACAATATGGAAGGGATTGTCAGGAGTTTACTTACATTACCTTCTCCCACTGTGCAGATGGTTTGGTCTGTTTTTGGGATTTGGGCTTCCCTAGAATCCCTCGTGCCATTGGGTTGGGCCCATATGAGATCCCTTCAGTGGTCCCTTCGTGACCAGTGGCTCATGCATATTGATCCTCTGGATCAAACAGTTTTTTTGCTCTAGAACAATTTTGCAAATCTCAAGTGGTGGCTAGCAGAAACAACCCGACTATCGGGGTCCAGATACCACCTACATCATCTGAAAATTCATCTCTTCACAAATGCTTCTCTTCATGGATGGGGTGCTTTTCTTCAGGGGCAGGAGTTCCAGGGTATTTGGACAAACTACGAATCTACCCTGTATATCAACATTCTTGAACCTCTTGCAGTACAATGAGCAATGATTCAAGGTCTTTCTCTCTTGCATAGCCAAATTGTCATGATCCATTCAGACAACTTCACGGTGATATCATATCTTTCTTGTCAGGGAGGTACTCGTTCTTGAGATCTTTATTTTCAGGCTTTGGGTCTTCTTTATTGGGCTCATTCCCATGACATCCATCTTTTGGCCTGTCATGTGCCAGGGGTTATGATTTTAATAGCAGATCATCTTTCTCGACCCCATAGGATTCTTCCAACAGAATGGATGTCACATCAGGAGGTCGTTCAATGGATTTGTTCTCAGTTCGGATCTCCAATGATAGACACCTTTGCAACCCATTGGAATGCTCATCTACAGTTATTCTGATCTCCAGTTCCTCATCCATGAGCTCTACCGATAGATGCTTTCAGTCACAACTGGACAAGATTACATTTATATGCCTTTCCTCTTATTTGTTTCTTACCCACAGTCTTGTCTATGATTCGTTCCACCCCATGTCATGTTCTCTTAATAGCGCATTTTTGGCCTGCTCAGACATGATTTCCTCTTCTTTGGTTGCTCCTGGAATGTCCACCACTACCTCTTCCCCCCATCTTTGTTGAGACTACCTCGGTCCAACATTCAACACCCAGACGTTTGACGACTCAAGCTTCATGCATGGAAGTTATGCAGTCCTTTGCCTGACATAGGGGTTTAATTTCTAAAGTCTCTGTTTATTTGACTAAATCCCTCCATCAACCTACTATGGTATCTATCAACCAAAATGGACTACATATTGTCAATGGTGTCTTCGGAGAGCCTTCAACACACTTCATCCTACAGTCTCCATAGTATCACGTTTTTTGTTGTAGACTTTTGAGAGAGGTTTGGTTTCTTCTACTGTTGCATTATATAAATTACCCTTAGTTGATACCTTTTGATATATTATAAGTATAGGAAGGTTTTTGAGTCTCCTGTGCTATCTCATCTCTTATGATCCTTTCATATTCTTCGACCCAAACAACCTTTTAAATTGCCTAATTGGGACTTTAGAGTTGTTTTACAGGCATTATCACGTCATCCCTTTGAACCTGTGGCCTCCTGTTCATTGTATCACCTTTCCTTCAAGGCATATTTTTTATTGTTGTTAGCTTCAGGAAGCTGCCATTCTGATTTATTTGCCTCCATGTTTAGTGGACTCGATCCAGACAGTTCCTTTCTACCGAAAACTCTCGCTGCCAGAGAAGGGAATAAATCCTTTTCTCCTATTCATTTACCAGGCATTTCTCAACTTTACAGTCGATCAGACCTGGATCGTTTGTTGTGTCCAGTCAGAGCACTTAGATGTTATATGACTCATACGGAACCGCTCAGGGGCCCTAGGAACTGTCTTTTTATTCATTGGGATCCAGCAGTGTCCCAGAATTTATCACCCATTCCATTAACTTGAGGGCTTCTGAAGTTGATTCGTA